GTCTAGTCTATAGTCTAGTCTATAGTCTAGTCTATAGTCTAGTCTATAGTCTAGTCTATAGTCTAGTCTATAGTCTAGTCTATAGTCTAGTCTATAGTCTAGTCTAGTCTATAGTCTAGTCTATAGTCTAGTCTATAGTCTAGTCTATAGTCTAGTCTATAGTCTAGTCTATAGTCTAGTCTATAGTCTAGTCTATAGTCTAGTCTATAGTCTAGTCTATAGTCTAGTCTATAGTCTAGTCTATAGTCTAGTCTATAGTCTAGTCTATAGTCTAGTCTATAGTCTAGTCTATAGTCTAGTCTATAGTCTAGTCTATAGTCTAGTCTATAGTCTAGTCTATAGTCTAGTCTATAGTCTAGTCTATAGTCTAGTCTATAGTCTAGTCTATAGTCTAGTCTATAGTCTAGTCTATAGTCTAGTCTATAGTCTAGTCTATAGTCTAGTCTATAGTCTAGTCTATAGTCTAGTCTATAGTCTAGTCTATAGTCTAGTCTATAGTCTAGTCTATAGTCTAGTCTATAGTCTAGTCTATAGTCTAGTCTATAGTCTAGTCTATAGTCTAGTCTATAGTCTAGTCTATAGTCTAGTCTATAGTCTAGTCTATAGTCTAGTCTATAGTCTAGTCTATAGTCTAGTCTATAGTCTAGTCTATAGTCTAGTCTATAGTCTAGTCTATAGTCTAGTCTATAGTCTAGTCTATAGTCTAGTCTATAGTCTAGTCTAGTCTAGTCTATAGTCTAGTCTATAGTCTAGTCTATAGTCTAGTCTATAGTCTAGTCTATAGTCTAGTCTAGTCTATAGTCTAGTCTAGTCTAGTCTAGACTAGTCTAATCTAGTCTAGTCTAGTCTAGTCTAGTCTATAGTCTAGTCTAGTCTAGTCTAGTCTAGTCTAGTCTATAGTCTAGTCTATAGTCTAGTCTAGTCTATAGTCTATAGTCTAGTCTAGTCTATAGTCTAGTCTAGTCTATAGTCTAGTCTAGTATATGGTCTAGTCTAGTCTATAGTCTAGTCTAGCCTAGTCTATAGTCTAGTCTATAGTCTAGTCTAGTCTATAGTCTAGTCTATAGTCTAGTCTAGTCTATAGTCTAGTCTATAGTCTAGTCTATAGTCTAGTCTAGTCTATAGTCTAGTCTATAGTCTAGCCTATAGTCTAGTCTATAGTCTAGTCTATAGTCTAGTCTATAGTCTAGTCTATAGTCTAGTCTATAGTCTAGTCTATAGTCTAGTCTATAGTCTAGTCTATAGTCTAGTCTATAGTCTAGTCTATAGTCTAGTCTATAGTCTAGTCTATAGTCTAGTCTATAGTCTAGTCTATAGTCTAGTCTATAGTCTAGTCTATAGTCTAGTCTAGTCTATAGTCTAGTCTAGTCTATAGTCTAGTCTATAGTCTAGTCTATAGTCTAGTCTAGTCTATAGTCTAGTCTATAGTCTAGTCTATAGTCTAGTCTAGTCTATAGTCTAGTCTAGTCTATAGTCTAGTCTAGTCTAGTCTATCTAGTCTAGTCTATAGTCTATAGTCTAGTCTAGTCTATAGTCTAGTCTAGTCTAGTCTAGTCTAGTCTATAGTCTAGTCTAGTCTATAGTCTAGTCTATAGTCTAGTCTATAGTCTAGTCTATAGTCTAGTCTATAGTCTAGTCTATAGTCTAGTCTATAGTTTAGTCTATAGTCTAGTCTATAGTCTAGTCTATAGTCTAGTCTATAGTCTAGTCTATAGTCTAGTCTATAGTCTAGTCTATAGTCTAGTCTATAGTCTAGTCTATAGTCTAGTCTATAGTCTAGTCTATAGTCTAGTCTATAGTCTAGTCTATAGTCTAGTCTATAGTCTAGTCTATAGTCTAGTCTAGTCTATAGTCTAGTCTAGTCTATAGTCTAGTCTAGTCTATAGTCTAGTCTAGTCTATAGTCTAGTCTATAGTCTAGTCTATAGTCTAGTCTATAGTCTAGTCTATAGTCTAGTCTATAGTCTAGTCTATAGTCTAGTCTATAGTCTAGTCTATAGTCTAGTCTATAGTCTAGTCTATAGTATAGTCTATAGTCTAGTCTATAGTCTAGTCTATAGTCTAGTCTATAGTCTAGTCTATAGTCTAGTCTATAGTCTAGTCTATAGTCTAGTCTATAGTATAGTCTATAGTCTAGTCTATAGTCTAGTCTATAGTATAGTCTATAGTCTAGTCTATAGTCTAGTCTATGGTCTAGTCTATAGTCTAGTCTATAGTCTAGTCTATAGTCTAGTCTATAGTCTAGTCTATAGTCGTCTATAGTCTAGTCTATAGTCTAGTCTATAGTCTAGTCTATAGTCTAGTCTATAGTCTAGTCTATAGTCTAGTCTATAGTCTAGTCTATAGTCTAGTCTATAGTCTAGTCTATAGTCTAGTCTATAGTCTAGTCTATAGTCTAGTCTATAGTCTAGTCTATAGTCTAGTCTATAGTCTAGTCTATAGTCTAGTCTATAGTCTAGTCTATAGTCTAGTCTATAGTCTAGTCTATAGTCTAGTCTATAGTCTAGTCTATAGTCTAGTCTATAGTCTAGTCTATAGTCTAGTCTATAGTCTAGTCTATAGTCTAGTCTATAGTCTAGTCTATAGTCTAGTCTATAGTCTAGTCTATAGTCTAGTCTATAGTCTAGTCTATAGTCTAGTCTATAGTCTAGTCTATAGTCTAGTCTATAGTCTAGTCTATAGTCTAGTCTATAGTCTAGTCTATGGTCTAGTCTATAGTCTAGTCTATAGTCTAGTCTATAGTCTAGTCTATAGTCTAGTCTAGTCTATAGTCTAGTCTATAGTCTAGTCTATAGTCTAGTCTATAGTCTAGTCTATAGTCTAGTCTAGTCTAGTCTAGTCTAGTCTATAGTCTAGTCTATAGTCTAGTCTATAGTCTAGTCTATAGTCTAGTCTATAGTCTAGTCTATAGTCTAGTCTATAGTCTAGTCTATAGTCTAGTCTATAGTCTAGTCTATAGTCTAGTCTATAGTCTAGTCTATAGTCTAGTCTATAGTCTAGTCTATAGTCTAGTCTATAGTCTAGTCTATAGTCTAGTCTATAGTCTAGTCTAGTCTATAGTCTAGTCTATAGTCTAGTCTATAGTCTAGTCTAGTCTAGTCTATAGTCTAGTCTATAGTCTAGTCTATAGTCTAGTCTATAGTCTAGTCTATAGTCTAGTCTATAGTCTAGTCTATAGTCTAGTCTATAGTCTAGTCTATAGTCTAGTCTATAGTCTAGTCTATAGTCTAGTCTATAGTCTAGTCTAGTCTATAGTCTAGTCTATAGTCTAGTCTATAGTCTAGTCTAGTCTAGTATAGTCTAGTCTATAGTCTAGTCTATAGTCTAGTCTATAGTCTAGTCTATAGTCTAGTCTATAGTCTAGTCTATAGTCTAGTCTATAGTCTAGTCTATAGTCTAGTCTATAGTCTAGTCTATAGTCTAGTCTATAGTCTAGTCTATAGTCTAGTCTATAGTCTAGTCTATAGTCTAGTCTATAGTCTAGTCTATAGTCTAGTCTATGGTCTAGTCTATAGTCTAGTCTATAGTCTAGTCTAGTCTAGTCTAGTCTATAGTCTAGTCTAGTCTATAGTCTAGTCTAGTCTAGTCTATAGTCTAGTCTATAGTCTAGTCTATAGTCTAGTCTATAGTCTAGTCTATAGTCTAGTCTATAGTCTAGTCTATAGTCTAGTCTATAGTCTAGTCTATAGTCTAGTCTATAGTCTAGTCTATAGTCTAGTCTATAGTCTAGTCTATAGTCTAGTCTATAGTCTAGTCTATAGTCTAGTCTATAGTCTAGTCTATGGTCTAGTCTATAGTCTAGTCTATAGTCTATAGTCTAGTCTATAGTCTAGTCTATAGTCTAGTCTATAGTCTAGTCTATAGTCTAGTCTATAGTCTAGTCTATAGTCTAGTCTATAGTCTAGTCTATAGTCTAGTCTATAGTCTAGTCTATAGTCTAGTCTATAGTCTAGTCTATAGTCTAGTCTATAGTCTAGTCTATAGTCTAGTCTATAGTCTAGTCTATAGTCTAGTCTATAGTCTAGTCTATAGTCTAGTCTATAGTCTAGTCTAGTCTATAGTCTAGTCTATAGTCTAGTCTATAGTCTAGTCTATAGTCTAGTCTATAGTCTAGTCTATAGTCTAGTCTATAGTCTAGTCTATGTCTAGTCTATAGTCTAGTCTATAGTCTAGTCTATAGTCTAGTCTATAGTCTAGTCTATAGTCTAGTCTATAGTCTAGTCTATAGTCTAGTCTATAGTCTAGTCTATAGTCTAGTATAGTCTAGTCTATAGTCTAGTCTATAGTCTAGTCTATAGTCTAGTCTATAGTCTAGTCTATAGTCTAGTCTATAGTCTAGTCTATAGTCTAGTCTATAGTCTAGTCTATAGTCTAGTCTATAGTCTAGTCTATAGTCTAGTCTATAGTCTAGTCTATAGTCTAGTCTATAGTCTAGTCTATAGTCTAGTCTATAGTCTAGTCTATAGTCTAGTCTATAGTCTAGTCTATAGTCTAGTCTATAGTCTAGTCTATAGTCTAGTCTATAGTCTAGTCTATGGTCTAGTCTATAGCGTGGACAATAGTTTTGTCTATAGTAAAAATAGTCTGGACAAATTAGTTAAAACACCTAAAATTATTGTTCACTGGGTTTGCATGGTAGTAGTGTGTTAAGTGGTTGGCCCGACTGTTCGTACGTTGTTGCCTTAACTGTTGTAGATGTTGTTTATTGCTGCTACATCTTTTTTTTTTTGCGTCTGAGTGTTGTTTATATAAACAAAAACGATGATTTATTTAACATTAATCACTAACAAGCATAGCTATTGAACGGAAGATACTTAAGTTTACGCTAACTCTCATTGATACAAATTTTATAACATTAATAATTCGAATTATTTAATAATAATAACGACGTAAACAAAGAACAAGAAAGTGTTACAAATTAATGGATTAAAAAACAAATAGAAATTGATACATAAATAGAAATAAATAAAATTATTAAAAAAAAACAAAACATTAAACTAAATGTGTGATATCATAGAAGACATTGTAAGTTGGGCAAATTGTTATTGACAAAATAAATGATCTATTAGTACATAAAGTGTTTGTGAATTGTGAATGGTGGTTCAATGTTTATATTGAAGTACGTACTTATATATATACATAACTACACACTTGTAAAAAATGTGAAATTTTTGTATAATTACTGGTTTTTTTTTGGATAATTAAAGAAACAACAAAAGATTTTTTTTGATAAAAATTTAAAAATATTATGGAATATAACTTAAAGGGCTTTTTGCAATAACTTGTTAATGTTAAAAAAAAATTAAAAAAAAAAATTATATATTTTTGGTTTAGAAAAGAAAAAGATTAAAATTACCAAAAAAAAATATATATATAAGGCGAAATGGTGTGATTTATCATGTTGCTGCAATAAGGCATTCAATGATTTGTAATTATTAATTTGTTTGAAAATACGAATTCGAGGTGAAAATATTAATATTTAGTGAAAATCTGAATTTATTTTAAATATTTGAATTTCTAGATTTTGAAGTCTATTCAATGTAGAGTCCGATCTATAGTCTGGTTTATTATCTGTACTATAATATGTAGTGAGGTCTATAGTATGGTCTATAGTCTAATCTATAGTCTGGACTATACTTTTGACTATTGTCAAGTTTATAGACGAGTCCATAGTCTGGACTTTAGTCGAGTACATAGTCTGGACTTTAGTCCTGTCTGTAGTCTGGAATGTTTTCTAATCTATAGTCTACTCTATAATCTATGGTCTACTCTATAGTCTGTACTATAGTTTAGTGTATAGTCAGGACTATAGTATAGTCCATAGTTTGTCTAGTCTATAGTCTACTATACTGTCTGGACTATATTCTAGTCTATAGACAGAACTGTAATCTAGTCTATAGTCTGGACAATAGTCTGGACTATAGCCTGAACTATAGTATAGTCTGGATTATTTTCTAGTCTATAGTCCACTATACAATGTGGACTATAGTCTGGACTACTGTATAGTCGTAAGTCTGGTTTATAGTCTATGGTCTGGTTTACAGTCAGGTCTTTTGTCTGGACTATAGTCTGTCTACAGTCTAGTCTATAGTTTGAACTATATTCTAGTCTATAGTCTGGACTATAGTCTGGTCTACAGTCTAGTCTATAGTTTGAACTATATTCTAGTCTATAGTCTGGACTATAGTCTTGTATATTGTCTGGACTATTGTATAGTTATTAGTCTGGTCTGTAGTCTATTTTATAGTCTAGTCTATAATCTGGACTATAGCCTAGTTTATATTCTGGACTATAGACAAGTCTATAGTCTGGACTATAATCAGGCCCATAGCCAGGTCTATAGTCTGGACTAAAATCTAACTACAGTCTGGACTGCAGTCGAATCTCTAGTCAGGACTCTGGACCAGTCTATTCAAATATCTAGTTAAATTTCAAATTTAAAGCGAAAACTCTAAAAAGAAATCGAATTTACTTCTTTAAACTTCTGAATTATTTGGAATTTTTCAGGTATAAACTTTTAGAGTAATTAATAGAAACAATTATTGGATGAGTTTTCTTTTCGTGTACTATTCCAATTACGATTAAACAACTATGAAAGCTTTTGTCTGTCATTATCGTACCTTTTAGGTCCGTTATTTAATTAGAAGACAGGTGCCTTAATTCCCATGACCTTTGCTGTTACATTTCACATATTTATTCGTATTATTTACCTTTAATACACATTTGTTTATTTTATTATTATTGTTTCTTTACTTTTGTTTTGTATTACGTTGCTTTTATGAATATTATCCATATCTAAGTACGTAATATGTACGAAGGTTGGGTACATTAGGATGACCTCGATTAGTATCGAGTCAAAATGAAGTTAGTTGTCGATGTTTTTGATTAAAACATGACTGAAGGGCAGAAGAAATGTAGACTTTTTCCAAGTACAACTAGGTCCATTTATGAAGAAACATTATGACTTGTTTTGATTGCTCTCTTTGATATTTTCCATCCGGACTTTTAAAAAGCTTCTACCAGTGTTCTTCTTATTACCCTAATGTACTCTTGTAAAATGCGACAAATGTTGGCACATTTTGTCACTTTCAAATAATAGACAACCAACGACGATAATGTCTTTTCTTATGAAAACATTCCTGAGGGATTACTAGTGTGTTTTGTTATTAAAATTCCAATGAAACGTTTATGAATATGTATGTTTCGTACGTAAGTATGTAAGAACGATTGTTAAAGCTGAAATAAAAATTGCGCGCACATAAAAATGTCATCGCTTAGATACCTATCTGACAGACAGACGTAACTAAATAACTATGAATTTCGACAAAAAAAAAAAAAAAAAAAAACACTTTACACACTTAAAGTGACAAAAATCACAAAACAATTGACTGTGAGACTTTTTGTTTTCGTTTTGGTCAGGAATATTTATGCGTAATATTTTCTTTTCACTTATTACTTATGTAAGATGTATAAAACTTGATACACACAGCTACTGTTGGTCCTTTAATTGGCATTAAATTTGGAAAATTTGCTACAACAGGTATTTTGGGGAGGATGGTTATCCGGCCGTGACTAAATCTATTTATGAGGGATTTGATAAGAGTGATTGTTATTATTTTTGTTGTTGAAGTGTACAATTGTTTCAGGATGTTTTTGGGAAAATTGTTTTCTTTTCATGAAAAAAATTTTCTTGGAAATATTTTTTTTTAATAATTGGATTTTACGTTAAAGTTCCAAGTGTTATTGAAATTTCGAATTAGTCTAGACTATAGACTAGACTATAGACTAGACTATAGACTAGACCATAGACTAGACTATAGACTAGACTATAGACTAGACTATAGACTAGACTATAGACTAGACTATAGACTAGACTATAGACTAGACTATAGACTAGACTATAGACTAGACTATAGACTAGACTATAGACTAGACTATAGACTAGACTATAGACTAGACTATAGACTAGACTATAGACTAGACTATAGACTAGACTATAGACTAGACTATAGACTAGACTATAGACTAGACTATAGACTAGACTATAGACTAGACTATAGACTAGACTATAGACTAGACTATAGACTAGACTATAGACTAGACTATAGACTAGACTATAGACTAGACTATAGACTAGACAATAGACTAACTATAGACTACACTATAGACTAGACTATAGACTAGACTATAGACTAGACTATAGACTAGACTATAGACTAGACTATAGACTAGACTATAGACTAGACTATAGACTAGACTATAGACTAGACTATAGACTAGACTATAGACTAGACTATAGACTAGACTATAGACTAGACTATAGACTAGACTATAGACTAGACTATAGACTAGACTATAGACTAGACTATAGACTAGACTATAGACTAGACTATAGACTAGACTATAGACTAGACTATAGACTAGACTATAGACTAGACTATAGACTAGACTATAGACTAGACTATAGACTGGACTATAGACTAGACTATAGACTAGACTATAGACTAGACTATAGACTAGACTATAGACTGTACTATAGACTAGACTAGACTATAGACTAGACTATAGACTAGACTATAGACTAGACTATAGACTAGACTATAGACTAGACTATAGACTAGACTATAGACTAGACTATAGACTGGACTATAGACTAGACTATAGACTAGACTATAGACTAGACTATAGACTAGACTATAGACTGGACTATAGACTAGACTAGACTATAGACTAGACTATAGACTAGACTATAGACTAGACTATAGACTAGACTATAGACTGGACTATAGACTAGACTATAGACTGGACTATAGACTAGACTATAGTCCAGATTATAGATGAGACAATAGACTAAACTATACACTAGAGTATAGACTAGACTATAGACTAGACTATAGACTAGACTATAGACTAGACTATAGACTAGACTATAGACTAGACTATAGACTAGACTATAGACTAGACTATAGACTAGACTATAGACTAGACTATAGACTAGACTATAGACTAGACTATAGACTAGACTATAGACTAGACTATAGACTAGACTATAGACTAGACTATAGACTAGACTATAGACTAGACTATAGACTAGACTATAGACTAGACTATAGACTAGACTATAGACTAGACTATAGACTAGACTATAGACTAGACTAGACTAGACTATAGACTAGACTAGACCCTATAGACTAGACCGTAGACTAGACTAAGACTAGACTATAGACTGACTATAGACTAGACTATAGACTAGTAGACTATAGACTAGACTATAGACTAGACTATAGACTAGACTATAGACTAGACTGACTAGGACTAGACTATAGACTAGACTATAGACTAGACTATAGACTAGACTATAGACTAGACTATAGACTAGACTATAGACTAGACTATAGACTAGACTATAGACTAGACTATAGACAGACTATAGACTAGACTATAGACTAGACTATAGACTAGACTATAGACTAGGACTATAGACTAGACTATAGACCAGACTATAGACTAGACTATAGACCAGGACTATAGACTAGACTATAGACTATAGAAACTTTTAATTAAATACCAATTTTTTTTATTACAGTTATCCTGCCCAATGAACACAAACATCGCCAAAATCCTCACTGGCTAAACTTGGTATACATACCAAACCAAAATCCCTAAAAGTTATGGTCCTAGGGCAAAGTGGTGTGGGTAAAACGGCAATGGTAGTGCGTTTCATAACACGACGCTATATCGGAGAATATGATCCCAATTTAGAGAAAATTTATACATTCAATACCTCCTTAGATAATGATTATGTACATTTTGATATTTTGGATGCAACGGGACAACCAAATGTGAGTTCATTGCAAGATTTGCTATAACCTTTGAAATAAATTACTTACTACTTACTTACTTACTACTGTTTCAGGAAGCCGATTGTGTTAATTTGGAATCTAATATACGTTGGGCAGATGCCTTTATACTCATGTATTCCGTAACGGATAAATGTAGTTTTGACGAGTGTAATCGTTTGAAATTTTTAATCAATTACAATAAGCGTAGACGAAAATTGGGTTCCAATAGTAAAGACTGTATGGCAGAGGTGCCGGTTATATTAGTGGGCAACAAAACCGATCAAATAGGCGATAGAATGGTAACACTGGAGGAGGGTCAGCGAAGGTTTAAAGAATTAAGCTGTGCCTGTTTCATGAAATTTCCGTACGAGAAAGTGTGGAACAAGTGGGTGCAACTAAAAATAAAAATCTTATAAGACTAAGCGTTGACTTCTTTTCTTTTTAATTAAGGTACAATCAGTATTTCGAGATGTTTTTCGCTTTTGGCGTGTATTTAGTAAGTTTCCCAAACTAAAACGTTCTACTAGTGATGTACAAAATGAATCCCTAAGTCCCGACTCAGGATGTTCCTTTTACGACACAGCTTATTTGGCTAATGAAACTAGAAGATCATTTTTAGTCATTGGTACTGCGTGTTTAGAAGAGAACGATCATTCCGAATCCACTGATGAGATTAGTTGCAGTAGTTTAAGAAGTTCTAGCAGTGAACTAGAAACACCATTTCGTAGTCGTGCCTCTACCGATGGCACATTATTGTCACGACCTCGAAGATGGCGTTATCCCCCACCGGATTGTCGATTACCTCATACGAATCGTGTAGAGAGACGCATGAGTATTTCTACACGAGGTAGTAATGCTAGTTATTAATTTAAATTTAAACTAAAAAAATAATAATTAAATGCTTTTTTTGTAATTTATACCGAATATATGCAAAGAATTTATTTATGTAATTTAGTAAAATTCATATTTTATATACTAGCTAAATAAATATTTTTTGTGCAAAGTATTTTTTTATACGAGAATGTTGCAAAACTACTGACTAGTATATAGAATATGCTATAGGCGAGACTACAATTGAAACCATAGCCTATAGACAAGTATACTATAGTTCGGACTATGGTCTGAACCACCTATAGTCCAGATTATAGACTTTTGCCCTGTCTATAGACTAGACAATAGTCCAGTTTAGTCTGTAAACTATAGTTCAGACTATAGACTAGGCAAGAATATAGCCCAGACTATTGACAATAGACTAGACTACTGTGCAGGCTATATACTAGTCTATAGACTAATCTGTAGACTAGACTATGATCTAACGTCTGAACTACAGTATAGTCTACATTGACTATAGACTATACTTGAGTGTCGACAATAGACTAAACTATCAACTATACACTAGACTATAAAATAGACTATAGACTAGACTGTAAAATAGACTATAGACTAGACTGTAAAATAGACTACAGACTAAACTATAGTCCAGTCTATAATCTACACTATAGGCCAGACTAAGCACAAACTATAGGACAGCTAAATTAAAATTTTGGTTGGACTCATGTTTTGCACATTTTTTCCCCCCTCCATTAATCTTCATCAATTTTGAGTAAATACTCCTCCGCTCTCAAAGCCAATTCACGTATGTTGCGCAAACAACCAGCAGCCGCCAATTGTAATTCTTTATTGGTAGAACCCACACATTCCAAAAGAAAGGGAACAACACCACTCTATAATTACAAAAATCGTTTCAAAATAATAACTCATAAATATATATTTTTTTTAAATACCTGATGCATAGTAATACAATTTTGTGGATCCATAGATAATTTTTCCAAAGCCATGGCTGTGGTACGATGAACTTCGGGATCATCACTAGTCATATAGGAGACAATGGGAGTAACGGTTCTTAAACGTCCCAATTCCTGGGTATTATTACCAAAAGTAGCACAACTAGCTATAGCAGCAGCCAAATTTTTACGCAATAAATCTTCCGTGGTATTAACTATTATAAACCGAAATTGTTTTTAGTATTAATTGTAGTATTTTTATTATTATTGAGCTTACCTAATCCCGCCAATTTGTATATAACTTTAAGATCGGTTAAAATCGCCAAATTGGTGCTATCTTTTGCTATAGTAGCTATAGCAGCACATACTGCTGATAATACTAAAATATCCTTAGATTTCAATAGACCTACCACCAATTCCATGGCACCCACTAAGCTGCGCACCAATTCCCCCGATTCATTGGCATTTTGAACACAAGGACAAATAGCATAGGCAGCATAAGCTTGGACACGGGTATTAGAATTCTTCAGTAAAGACCATATCAAACGTACAGCATCCAATTCTTCCAATATATGCATACTTTCCATATCTTCGGCACATTCTTTTAAGGCTTTAGCTAGATTTTCCAATAAGGGGGCGTGAGAAGAGTTCAGCAAGGAGACCAAAGCCGGTAAACCATTGGAATTGCGCAAAACATCGCGATTATTTTGAAATCTAACACATTCCGCTATAGCTCCAGCCACATTAGTTAAAACGGTGTCGGATTCATCATTTAGTAAAGAAATCAAATGATTGACTGTGCGCAATTGATCAAACTTTTTAACATTATCTTCCGATATAGCACACATCCAAATGGCTCCAGTGGCTCCTATTAACAAAGGTTTATTGTCGCGTACAGTTTTATCCTTAATAATGGCCACCAAAGGTTCTAAGCCACCAGCTTCACGCACCAAATCCCTAGTAACCTGATCAAACGCGCATTTATATAGAGCTGTACTGCCTTCCATTTTTAAATCCAAATTACTGGAACTTAAATGATTAACTATATCGGCAATCATACCTTCGGTGGTTATGGCCAATTGGAACTTTGGCTGTATAAGAAAATAAAATAAATTTCACTACAATTTGGAAGTTTTATTAAAACTCTCTAGCAATTTACCTGTGAGGCACATTTCTGTATTGTACCCATTATCGGTATGACCACATCTATATGACAAGATTTCAATAAACGTGCCATCAGAGGAACAATACCACTTTTACGCATTAGTTCTTTATTATGTTTAGAATCGGATAAAGACCATAAGGCTTTAGCTCCTGCCAGAGCCATATTAAGTTGTTCGATTTCTTCGCTAGTCAATTCTTCTCGTGGAGTTTGTAAAATACTTAAAAACAGACGCAATTAAAAACAAGTTTAAAGCCCAGAAAGTAAATTTAAACTTACTGCAATTTAACATCTAATAGATCCACCAACTTTGGTATGCCACCACAAGTGCGTACATATTTACGAGCCAATCTAACCTTCGCCACATTAGCCAAAGTCTCAGCGGCTACAGTTTTTAAGTCCTTCATGGAGGAATTCAAAATATCAATGATAAGAGGAATACCATCCAAATCCACTATAGTTTTACGTATATCAATATTTAGAGAAATATCCGCCATGACAGTTAATGCTCCCAGTCGACATTTAGCATCATTACATTCCAATATATTCACCAAAACCTCTAGACCCCCAATATCTTGTATAGCAAATTGATTGATTTGTGTGGTCAAATCGTAATCCTGCAGACAGCATAACGAAACAATTGTAGCCGTCTGATTGCCCGCTTTAATATACTTCACCAACTTCTGTATATTATAGTAATCGGCTGGTATTTCTGCTGCCCTTGCCACATCCTTCCAACGTTCTTCTTCATCAGTTGAGGAATCTATTTCAGTCGAATCGGAATCTTGCACATAAACCGAACTTTTAACATTCGTATGACGTTCCGGACAACTACCACATTTTTGTTGATTTTTTGGTCTTCGAAAGCGTAATTTGTTTTATTTTCCATTTGTGTTCTTCGTTATGGGCTTTTTCAACACTAGTGGCAATTACAGTTTTTAAAGGATCAAAATTAGCTGGATGTATATTAGGCGCATGTTCTTCATTTGCAATACTCGCATGTACATCAGTCATTGTACGAAGAATATTATTCAATTTCCAATAAAATTGTAAACAAAAAATCCAATTACAAAATAGACAGTGACAGTGAGTGTTAAAAGTATTTAAGGGAATAAGTTCCCGTTTCAAAGTTCATTTCAGAAATTTTACTTTTAATATTCGGAGTTGTCATAGAATCCTATAATTCTCGGATTTGGTTTTGACCACTATTGCCAATTAGACATTTGATAGACTAGACTATAGACTAGACTATAGACTAGACTATAGACTAGACTATAGACTAGACTAGACTAGACTATAGACTAGACTATAGACTAGACTATAGACTAGACTATAGACTAGACTATAGACTAGACTATAGACTAGACTACTAGACTAGACTAGACTATAGACTAGACTATAGACTAGACTATAGACTAGACTATAGACTAGATAGACTATAGACTATAGACGACTATAGACTAGACTATAGACTAGACTATAGACTAGACTATAGACTAGACTATAGACTAGACTATAGACTAGACTATAGACTAGACTATAGACTAGACTATAGACTAGACTATAGACTAGACTATAGACTAGACTATAGACTATACGAGACTAGACTATAGACTAGACTATAGACTAGACTATAGACTAGACTATAGACTAGACTATAGACTAGACTATAGACTAGACTATAGACTAGACTATAGACTAGACTATAGACTAGACTATAGACTAGACTATAGACTAGACTATAGACTAGACTATAGACTAGACTATAGACTAGACTATAGACTAGACTATAGACTAGACTATAGACTAGACTATAGACTAGACTATAGACTAGACTATAGACTAGACTATAGACTAGACTATAGACTAGACTATAGACTAGACTATAGACTAGACTATAGACTAGACTATAGACTAGACTATAGACTAGACTATAGACTAGACTATAGACTAGACTATAGACCTAGACTATAGACTAGACTATAGACTAGACTATAGACTAGACTATAGACTAGACTATAGACTAGACTATAGACTAGACTATAGACTAGACTATAGACTAGACTATAGACTAGACTATAGACTAGACTATAGACTAGACTATAGACTAGACTATAGACTAGACTATAGACTAGACTATAGACTAGACTATAGACTAGACTATAGACTAGATAGACTACTATAGACTAGACTATAGACTAGACTATAGACTA